TGCTGATTTCACTCTGTCATGTCCTCTCCTGTGTATTTTGGGTTTGGTTCCTTCCTCAATTTATAGATGGTATAATTAAACATCTGTTTGTATTTGTATTCATTATTTGCTGTCATGATGAAAAGATGGAAGCTTTGTGGGTCTCACAGCAGAGAGAGAAAGGCCATCAAAATTGCTTTAAAACTCTCTGAAAAATCCTTGTGTGAATAGTGGTAAATGACAAGAAGAAAATAATACAGGAGTGAAATGATTACTTTGTATTTATCCTTTCTGTTGGATAGCTATTAGTATCATAGCAGTTTAAGAAAAGCCTGACTAGTGTATTGTATGTTATATAGGATTTTAAAACTTGTACATAATGAATTTTCCCTATTTCTATCTCTAGAACTCATCTACCCAAATCTACTTTACTCTCCTATTTGTTGATTATATTAGAATTCTTTAGCCCTTTTTACTACTTCTCTTGTAGAAATCCTTGTTGGAGGAGCTGACTAAGGAAGTTCATGGGACTGTAATAGTTATTTGCAGCTTTTCCTACCCAGATTAGAAGGATGGTCTTTCCTTTTAGCAGATGTGCTGCCCTTACTAGCTGTGGTCTTCTCAGTCAGCCTGCTCCTTACAAAGTCCAAACAGGGAGCTTGTCAATTGTTAGGTGTTACAGCTGTCATTGGTTTGGGTCCTCAAAAATCTCGTAAGTGTCTTTCAGTAAAGAAAAAGGAAGGACAGACTAAAATAATAGAAAGAAACTTTTTTTTTCCTGTTTTCTGTTGGAGAGAGGAAGACAACAGTAATATTTGTGCTAGGAGGGAAAGCAGAGATGTTGGGATTTCTAACATTAAGTAAGAGTAAAGGACAGAAGATAAACTTGCTTCACTTGTCTGCCAATGTTTAAGAAACATTGCTTCTCTTGGAGAGAGCAGGATAGGAATTACTAGCTTCTTATATTACTTGAATAACGTCATAAGTGATAGCCTCTGACTAATATATTCCAGCAAAGAAAAGAATGCAAAAACCTGATATAGGAAAATACCTAGAGACTTAAACTGTAGGAAAGAAAACTGAGTTGGTTTATTTAACATCTTAAATACGATAAAGAAACTAGTTTCTTTCTTGGACCTCATAATCTGTTGTTGTTAACCAGTGATCTCTCCTGTAACATAAAGTGTAGTGTATCCTGTCTCCTGCCACAGTATGCTTTTTACATTTTAAAGTGTAATTAAGATTTTGTTTTGGAGTATGCTTTTATAGAACTCTTGGTTTCCCTATATTTCAGCATAAGGAGATTGCTCAGTATTTCTGTTCTTTTCCTGTTATTTTTGCTTGATGATAGGGATTAATTAATAGATGGCTTGCATTGGTAGAAGGACATCTTGTGACTGACCTTATTCTGTATGTTTAAGTCTGAAGACTTCCCGTGCCAAAGAGAAGGATGTCCTGAAGAAGTTAGATCGTTTGAATGACTATGAGCAGCAGATTCAAATACTGCAGGATGAGATTGCTATCTTGGATGCCAAAAACTCTGTTCTCCAGAGCAGGTAGGGGTGTAATTCAGAGAGGTCACTGAATCAGAGAAATTTTTCGTGTTAGGTAGCATGAATTCCCTCCTCATTTTAAATTGAAGCATACACTGAAGCTAAGCTTCTGAACTGTGTTAAGAAGGAACATGAACTCTGTAACTGATTTCTCCTAGAGCCTAAATGTTTTAATTTCAGGCAGCTATGTTAAGTTTCTTGCAAAACAGTAAAGAGAGCAGCTTTACAAAATACACTGAGAGCAACTGTGCTGGACAAAAAGAGATGGTTACGTTTCTGAAGTCCTCTTTGAATACTGTACAAGACAGAACTTGTTATATTCTCATTTGTTTGACTTCAGTGGTACTGGAAGAGGAACAAATCTCCAAAATATTACTAGTTAAAAGTGTGTTTCCCCAGGGCAAAGTGCTTGGCTCTACACACTTTAGGAATTACTTTAATTTTATTGTTCAGGCTCTAGCCCATAAAGTGTATTGGCACAAATGTCTTCATATTAGACTAATGAGCTGCAGCTTTACTTCTTTAATTATATTGGCTCAAAATGTCAAATGCCCTGATAATTAAATTTACACAAAAATCTCTGCACTCAGCAAAAGCATCTGAGGATGGTGAAGTGACCTCCTGCTTCTTTACATACCTGTCATAGGCTTGCAAGGAGCCGCTCTCCTTCCCCAAGGCACAGTGAGAGGAAGTCACCAAGTCCACTTCCCCTGAGGAGCTGCTCACCTGGCCGAGCCAAACATACAAATGCTTCACGTCGTGCCTACCTGGTAGCTCGCTTTCGTGACCTTTATGCTCAAGACCGCTTGGATGCAGAGACCCTTTTGAGGGCATACATCAGTGATGTAGAGATGATGCAGAGGATAATATACATTGCAGCTGTGGTAAGAAAAAAGACTGAGGTTTTACAGTCCAGAAGTGTTTTATAAAATATTATGGCTGTATTAGATTGTGTTGTGTGTAAATTAGCATTTCTGTGAAGTACAGAGAAAAAGAAATATTCTCTTCTTTTTTCCCTTTTGACTTTCCTTTCTTTCCCTCACACTTTTACGTTGAACTCTCAATTTAGTGCTCTTTTCTGACTGTCCTGTCCCACCATTAGAACAGGGTCAGTAATCTACAGTACAGGTGGTAAACAGCCCCTACTAAAAAGTTTGTCCCCATCTTTCTTATAAGCCTCCTTTAAGTCCTGAAAGACCTCAATAAGATCTCCCCAGAGCCTTCTCTTCTCCAGGCTGAACAACCCCAGCTCTCTGACTGTCTTCATAGGAGAGGTGCTCCATCCCTCTGATCTTTTTTGTGGTCCACTTCTGGACTTGCTTCCACAGGTCCATTTCTTTCTGTGCTGAGGACTCCAGAGCTGGACGCAGTACTCCAGATCGGGTCTTACGAAAAAGGAGTAGAGGGGCAGAATCACCTTCCTCGACCTGCTGGCCACACTTCTTTTAGTGCAGCTCAGGATGTGGTTGGCCTTCTGGGCTGTGAGCACACATTGGTGGCTCATGTCCAGCTTTTCATCCACCAGTACCCCTAAGTCCTTCTCTGCAGGGCTGCTCTCCATCCCTTCAACCCCAGCCTGTATTGATACCAGGGGTTGCCCCAACCTGGGTGCAGGACCTTGCACTTGGCCTTGCTGAATGTCATGAGATTCACATGGATTCACTTCTTGGATTTATCCAGGTCCCTCTGGCTGGTGTCCTGTCCCTCAACTGCACCACTCAGCTTGGTGTTGTCTGCCAACTTGCTGAGGGTGCACTCAATCCCACTGTCTATATAATTGATAAAGATATTAAACAGTAGTGGTCCCAGTATGGACTCTTGAGGGACACTGTCATGGATCTCCATCTGGACACGAGTCTTTGACCACTACCCTCTGAGTGCAACCATCCAACCAACTCCTCATCCACTGAACTGTCCATCCATCAAATCCTTATCTCTCCAATTTAGAGAAAAGGATATTATAGGGGACCTTGTCAATGGGTTTACAGGAGTCCAGGTAGATGACATGCCTAGCTCTTCTCTTTATTGGGTCTTTTGAAATTACGTTGATACCTCACATTTACTATGAGCTCAGTCTGAAGAAACTTGTTTTCATTTTTCTGTACTTAATCTTCTTTTCTACAAAATTGATGTAGTACATACCTGTGTCAGAGTAGCAGTATGTCTCTTAATGTCTGTGATGCCAAGCACATTTAACTTCCTGAAGTTATTTTCACACTACTGTTATTCAGTTTACACTCTCCAGTTCAACCTTTCTTCCCCACTGACAGAACGTGCTCCTGTCTGATGTGTTAGGCTGTGGCATATAAAATGCTAGTTCTAAATTCTGCTGTCTTTGATATCTTTGAATGGGATTCTACTGATTGTGGTTGTGTGATGAAATCCTATGTAAAAATAAAATGCTAGATGGGAAGCTTTTCAGTCCTGTCCTCTGCAAGTAAATCACACTTGATTTAAGCAGAAGTCCTGAATAAGTACTATTTTTAACTTTCACTTTTACAGCAGTGTTTTATATTCCTCCTTATGATGATGATATCCAGTGTCATCAGATAATTGACAGAAAATTAATCTCAATCTTCTGGATTTAACTAGATGTTCTTTACATTTGCAGGAGTCTTTTCATGCAGCAAAGATAGCCTACAGGCAGTTCAAAATACGTGTGAGAGAGACTCTGTCTCTAGGTCACTCGGGGCCCGAGTCTCTTGAAGACACTGTCCTGGATTATATAGTTCGCCATGAGGATCTGTATGACGTTCAAGCCAGTGTCAATGTAAGTCAAAGGCAGTAGAGAAATTATGTACTGATTATTTTTGGTAGCTAATACATTTGGAGCATGTAGACTAGAAATGCACTATAACCTGAAGAAGGAAAAAAGTTTATTGTGTGGATTTTGTCTTGTAGTAATTTATTTTCCAAAATAATATTGTGACATGTCCCAGTAGTCGCTTGTTTGCCTGTGACTAAAATGTTTCTGTTTGCCATAATAATATTTCTGGTAAGAGACAGTGTAACTGTCTTAATCAAATAAATCTAAGCTAAATTTCATATTTTTCTTAAATTCTGTGCTCTACTGAAAAACTCATTCCTAAAATTGATGTAAATGATGTAGCTTATACTTTATTTCTAAAATAACAGCGCATTCTTTCTGAAGCTAATATTTTCTGGAATAGCCTGGGACAGCATTGCTGGGAGCTTATACTGATTATTAAATGTAGGAAGCCAAGAGGCATATTTAGGAGGGATTTCCGTACTTGCCTGTAAGTAAAAGTGTTAGTAAGCTCCAAATTACTCAATTGTGTTTATTTTCAGGAAGTAGTTCGCTCCATGAATATCAACCCAAAGATTTCATTTCCACCAGAAGTTGATTTCATTGTGATCAACACTCTGATTCGAGAGTTGTGCTCTGTGGCTTTTTCAATGCAGACACTCGTTCCTCCTCTTGACATTGCCTTTAGTACTGATGGGGAACTTTACAGTGACACCAAGTAAGAACTCTCAATTTTCAGTCAGATTCTAACTATTAAAAATAATCCATCAGGTTGTATGGTCTACTTCTTTCATAATAATTATAAAGGTTTAAGATTGATGCTAAACATTAATTTGGGGTGAATATTCCTGGTCTGTAGTGTACTTGGTATGTCTTTAAGGTTTGTGGTAGCATATAAATGCCAGGATGTGCTAACAGCTTTTTAAATATACAGCAGAGCAATTTTCTGGATAAACTTCAATCTCTAGAGCATATTTAATTTATCCTTTAAAATGAAAACTATCATCAACTTTCCTTTCCCTGTTTAGTCTCTGTCTGCCTCCAGTGGTGATAAAATTGGTGCATCTTTGTTCCTCTTTTCTGGCCCATTTTGTAAAAGTCATGTTTACTGAGATCTGGCAGTTGTTGCCTGATACTAGGATCATCAACATGTGAGCTGTGACCTCCAAGCTGTGGCTGCTGTACAGCGTATGGATATTAATACACTCCCATATCTTCTGGTTTGGAGCTGAGCAAAAAAAAAAAGTCTTTTAAAAACAGGAATTTTGTTTAAAAAATGCACACCACAATATAGGGATTTTTTTTTCCTATGGGCACAATGCTGGCTGCTTTGTTAGCTGGCAGATAACTGTAGGGTATTTCCATGCCTTCAAGAAAACTAGTGGGATTGATAGCTCAAAAAAGTTGCTCTCAAAAGCAAGAGAAGTCACACAAATAAGGAGGTTTCTAATAATAATAATTTATAATAGAATGGAGCTCAGGTGAGGAAGAGCTTGAGAAGCCAAGCAGAGAAATAGAGAAGATAAAAGTAGCCCCTCAACAGGAGTGCAGTCATACATGACTACTCAGTGACCCTGTCCAAATATTGGGCAGTTAGCTGTTTGATACCTAAAGCTATTGGCTGATTTAAGGAGGCAGTGATGCTATGGCATAATCTTGGGATTCTTTCTCCATCTACTTGATGTGTATGGCCTTCAAAAAACAGTTGTAATGCATTTGTGTGTGGCTGTCGGAGACATATACACACATCTATCCATCTATATAGGTAAATAAGTAGCACAGATATATTTACATGTGTAGCATGTATATGTGGTACACAGAGATGGAGCAAAATCTGTAGAAATTAAAATCTCTGTTAGTTATGTGTGATACCATTCTACGAAAGGGCTGGCCAAACCTTATCGTACCCTATATATTCCTCCATGCAGAGCTTCATGCCTCTGTTTCCAACATTGTCTTGTATAAATTACTATTATATATACAATACTGATTTATAGATGCATTGCTGTTTTTTATTTCAGTTACTTAGTATTTGTTTTGAGTTCAAATCCACAAAACCATACATATATCATTCAGCCTATATTGCAGACTTAGGGAGGTAATATATATCTGGTATGTTAATACAGGCCTTCAAAATAATTTTTCTTAGCTAAAAAGCCACTGTTTCTTTATCAGTATATGAAGATCTTGCTACTAAAATTGCCTCTTATGTCTTATAAGATACTAGCATGTAACTGTGTAGTTGAGATAGAGTATTTCTGTAATAACTTTTATAGGGGTCTTGTTTTAGCAATATATTTCAGGGAGATGGGATGGCTATGCCTGCCAATATGTTGTTCAGGAGATTAATCTGTCAGTGGACCCAAGGACCCTGGCTTGTGTGGGGCTTATGCAAGGATATGATCTAGTGGCCTTCTTATGTGTGAGATGGCTTTACTGGAGTGTTTCTCACTATAAGTAGACAGTTTATTCTGTGCAGTCTGTCTTACAAATGCATTTATTTTACAGGTTCCATTAAAGAATACTTATTTTTGTGATACAGAAAGATTATTGAGAAATAAATTTATGAGCTGTAACCAGTATTCTGCTTTTTATCAGCATTGATGACTTGAAGCATTGTACTTATCTTTTGGCACTTAAGTGCAGACATTTCTTTGTACTCTGTTTCAACAGGTATCATCGTAGTTTTGACTCTGATTTCACAGCTGTCTTGGTGGCTTATCATGTATGGCCTGCTCTGATGGAAAATGATGTTGTAATTGTGAAGGGAGAGGCAGTCACAAAAAGAGGAGCTTTGGTATGTACTTTTGTTAATGAACATATTAAAAGAAGTAATTGGATTTAAACACTGTTTTAAAAATGTAAAAAAGAGAAATTCTCGATTGTCCTCTATATGGCTGGGGTTGTGTATATCAGATATCAGTTAGGTTTTAGTGCCTCATCCTGTATGTAGGATGAATAGTTCCATTTGGCTTAATGTATTCATTATGCAGCCGAGTGATTGTTGGCAGAGCCTGTTCTAAGGAGAAAGTTTACTGTGTTTACTCTCTGTCCTCAGACCTTGTCTCCAGCATGGCAAGCCTGCTTGCTGAGTCTGTCTTTATTAAATACCCTCTCTCAAAAGAGGTTTGTCAAACTGTTCTCTTGTAGCAGTCTCACAGAAGCAGAAGTAGATGTAGAAGCAGAAGCCGCGCCCGTAGTACCAGTCCTCTTCTATCTCGTTGTGTAAGCCCCAGCTGAATGCTTATGGTATGAACAGCATCAAGTATTTTAAACTCAGGATGTAGGCAACCTTTTAAAAGTGCTGATGCACTACGTATACATTTTAACATTGGGAATAAATGCCTTTGCTGGGTCTGGAGTGAGGTGAAGCTGAACAGGTAGCTATTGCCTGGTATAATTATCAGTGGAGATACTGTATGAGAAGCAGATCATAGTTAAATTCTCAGAAGAATCAACTGTGGATCTTTGAATGCTTTCCCCCTGCTACTCCTTGCTTTGGTACCCTTCTGTATAACTAATTGCATCATCTGGAAGTGTTTTAGTTATCTTGCAGAACATATACAGCACATGGTCCTTGCCTCCCAGAATTAGTAACCTAAATTTACCCTCTGATACCTCAAAGGAGCAGAAAATAATTGTAGGGTGGGGCAGGAGGGGAAGCACTGAAGTGATATTAATAAGATATGTGAAACCTTGGCAGGGTTCTGCATATGGTATAGTCACACAATATTTTTAATTGCTGCTGTAAAAATGGTGTATATTTTTGAATTGTGAGTCTATCTTACTAAATTGACATAGATGCCATCAACTCAAAATGTGAATATTGAAAATCTAAGAGACTTTAGGTAAGACTCAGTTCTCTGTGTGTACAGGGTATGAAAGAAAAACTAGAAAGTTGTATTTGACTTTGTAGCAGTGGAGCTGCACTGATAGAGTAACATTTGCAAATTTCCTGAATGTTGATGAGTCCCTAGATGTCTCTCTTGGATGCAGTTCTTTAACACACCTGAGTTTCCTTTTCTGTTTGTCTTGCAGTTATCTGGAAGCCGCAGTCCTTTACCGCTGAGGAGTGGAAGCCCAAGTAAGTGGTCATATTAATTCATAATAACTCATGGTTTTCACGTTAAGTCCTTGAGTGACTGAGCAAAGAGTCAAAATAACATGCTGAAGGTCTTTGACTCTAAAATATTTGTCAAATCTTAGTTTTTAAAATAGGTAGCTCCTTTCTTTTATGTGTGTGGAAAAAGGCTGAAATTTCTTACTTGGAGAGCTTGTTTCTCACTCAGACCACTTTCATGAATTCTGTCTTCTGGTTGCCTTTATTATGGCCAGTTCTATAGAAGTAAAACTTGTTCTCTTGCCCACACACGAGACAGTTTGCCTGCCTGCCTGCTGGCTCTATGCCTTTCAAAAACCAAAGAATAGCTAAGTAGTGATGGTGAAGTGAGGGATTTCATCAGTATGAATGTGTGCCTATCCTGAAGCCAAGCCAATTTAGAGATTTAGTAAAAAATAGTTGTACTGAAATATGCCTTTTTCTTCAATAGGGTGTTAAGTTATCTGAACGTGTTCCTGTGATCCAGTACATCTGGATCCAACAACTTCACTGGTGCCTATTCAAGAATACCTCATCTCGCAATAATGTGAAGAGCAATTCTCCAAATGGAATTTGTGTACAGTGTGGTTTTTAGAATTATAGAAAGCTTGTTTATAATTTCAGAAACAAATTAAACCCTTCTAGTATAAAAAAAAAAAAAGAAAAGAAAAGAAAGCACATGTGCTAGAGGATCATACTCATCTGGCAACATTTGCAGAGCACTGAGGACCTCATGCTGTAATCCTGCAGATGGAGTTAGAATTGTTGCACCTAGAGTGTTTTCCACAGATAACAATTGATGCAGTTTATCTTGACAGGATGCTTAATATAACCCAAATAGTGAATGTTGCAGAATGTTGAGGTTAGCTGTTAGTTGAAAACAATTTCATTAATTGGTGCTTATTTACAGTTTTAGAAAACAGCAATAATATTAAGATGTGCCTTTCTTGCACAGCGTCCTTTTGAATAGATCCTTGCGGTAAACTGAATTTTCTAACTACAGTGCAAAAGTTGGACAGAACAGTCATAAACTACCAATACTCCAGCAATCCCTAGCACTTTATTGACCTTTATTTATGAAAGCACAGGTGTGTGCTTTAGCAAGGCAATAATAGTCCTTGTCAAATTCACTGTTACTTAGAAATTGGTATCATAAAAAAATTATCATTTGGAACTTAGTGTTTTGAAAATGTGACACTGACTATTTGTAGGCTTGAAGTATTTGCTTGAGGTGGCATATTCAGTATCACCTTTAATGGTCTTACATACCAGACTGGTAGATTAGTAATTCTTGTGGACACAATGAAGAAAACCTGCCTTGTTATCTTTTACTGTGGGCATTTATTACATTTTAAGTGTAAAAATTAGAGACCTGAAAATATTTTATTCTGGCACGTTAAATAGTTTGTTCCCCTTGTAAATGTTTATTTTAATATCAACATTTTTGTTTTTGAGAGAACTGATGCTGTCTTTCTATCAGAACCTTGTCTGTAGGGCCAGCCTTAAGTACGAGCCACACAAATGACTGCTTGGTGCTTTTACATAGAAAGATAGGATTTGTCATAATGGAGCTGATGTGTAATTCCCCAGCTCCATGGTCTCATTCCATTGCTGGTTGACCTAGACAGCAGGATGGTGGCCAAGGGAGTCGGAATCTGCTAAGGAGTGTGTAACAACTCACCTGCTGAATCAACTAGCCCTGAAAATGGATGATGCTGGAGTGCCAGGCTCATAGCCAGCTCTCTCTGGCAGTGTGAGATGTGTAGATGTGGCACTTCAGGACATGGTTTTTAGGTGTGGTAGTCTTGAGTTGACAGTTGGATTTGATGATCTTAGAAGTTTTTTCAACCTTAATAAATCTGTTATTCCAATCAATACCTTTCCCCAAGTTAATCTCCACAGTTTTGGAATATAAACAAGATGGAGGAAACATTCTGTTCTGTCTCCTCTTTTAATCAGCCTATGCCCTGGAACATGACATTTCTTTAGTACTATTTTAGCAAAAAATATTTTTATTAGTCCTGAAACTATTTAGTCCTTAAAATTAAGTTACAGGAGCAAATTCTGTGATCCCTTTCCAGGGATCTTGTGCAGTTTTACACGTCCACTTCTCTCTGCTGCTTGTGTAGCTTAAGACTTTGACACAAGATCAGATTTCAGGCAGACGTTAGCACTGGTCCCCATGAGCCGTGGATCAGCTATGACTCTAGTTATACAGATTTATTTTCAGTGGAATTAGGCCCATTATTAGGTCCAAGACATAGTGTCATTCACAGAACCACTCTGAATGAATTAAGGAGACACAAAGGCACATTGTGCATTAGGTGATATTCTTTCTTGTTATCTAAGAAGGTCACAAGAGAATGCAAAGCAATGTGTTTCCTCTTCTAAAAGCCTGATTGTTGGTCACAGCTATGGATCTGGACTTGAAGTAAACCTGCATATTTCTGGACTGACCTCATGACGAAAAGCACCACAGTTCTGGAAAAACTGAGCACCTGCGACTTCTGTGACAACAGAAGACAATTAGATATCCCAAGTATGGTTTCGAGCAGAAAAAGGAATAATTTGTCAAAATCTTAAAATTACCAAGGGTAAGGAGATGTAGGATTTTAAAAAACTAGGTGTTGTATGTTTGTCTTCTGCATGTGATTACCAAGACGTGTCTATGTTATGACTTTGAGTTGAAGTAAGTTTCTATACCAACTGTGAGAAAACCAAGACTATATCAAAGTATGTTTTTCTTGGCAAGCATGAGAGACAGGGTAGTTCCAAGCTTTCACACACCTGTGGTGCTGCTAGGAACTAGTATTCCTGAAGACCTATGATTGCCATAAAATACAAATTCACAGTGTTTGGTGGACCATCTCATCTTACTCCCTCAGCAGGTACCCAGAGAACTATAGTTAGTCTCGAAGTAAAAGGGAAAACTAATGAAATGATAATCAGTGACTTGATAGTGAGAAAGCAGCTCAAAGATTTGTTTTGCATAATGTTTCAGAGCTGAGCAAACCATTTGCAGCGAAGTAGGCAGTCAGTCCACAGCATGGTAACACTTAATTAGTTAAACAATGCTTTCTATTCTCAGTTGTACTCTGTAGCCCTTAGTCTTTGTATAGGAATATACTATTTCATACTGGTTGCCTGTGCAACTTGCTTATAGCCAATTAAATCTATAAGTCGGACAGAGAATTGCTTTTGGTGTCAAGTTAGACATTAATGGCTCCTGTGCTTCCTTTTATCCACATGACAACAGTGCAGAGAATACATACCAATAGAGATTGCATGAAATTAACCATCAAATGCAAAATAACTTATGAAAGGGACGGGATATAAAAAAGCACCACCTTTGGGCCAAGGTGTTAATGTAGGACAGCACACATTTGTGAAGAATTTTGAGATTGCAAGAGAATTTTTCCTGCACGTTAGCTCTTTTAAGGCTGATTATGTCTGCCTCCATTCAAATGCTTCCACAGACTCAGTCTAAATATGTAGGTATTTTATTACCTATTTCTGAGGAAATACAATATCATCAGAGTATCTTCAGACTTTCTTCTTTGATGTTTGCAGCTGAATAACACAGAGACTCAGAACTAGCAGATACTGAGGGCAAATGGCTCAGCTGAATTTGCTACTGCACAATGAAGATTTAAATTCAGAAATTAGTTTAGTTTGATTCTCCCAGCATCCTGATAGGAGAAGAGAAGCTGGGACCAGGAGGCTCCTGTCTAACCTGGCTGTGCTGCTGATTCAGTCTTGTAGGAGGTCCTGGAGGTACATGGTAAGTTAAAGCAAAAATACTCTACAGCTTGAAGAAAGTAAACGTGAAGGCCAAAAATTATCATAACGCTCCCTGGAATACATATGCCTGTACATCCACCAGGATTTACTTTTCATACTGCATGTATGTACCGCAAAAATTTGTCATCCTGTTAAAGTGCCATCAGCATTAGATACTGTCTTTTCGCCTTTATATAACTTTGGTCAGCCCTTTTGGGCTGGTGTTAACTACACAATTATTTTCTTACTGTAGCATTAAATAGTCTACCTTTGTATTAAAGCAGTGAAAAGCTGTTATGGCTTGCAGCTATATTACCATGTGTTCAGGTTGAATGTTTTAAGTTTCAAGACTATTGTAGTTCCTTTAGTCATGTAGCCTACTAAACAAGTATACTAAAAAAGTAGATATTTAATTTTTTGCAGGTCTTTATCATTTAAAACAACACATGTAAGCAAGTCCATCACAGGCTTTTGCTGATATACAGGTGTATTGCTCATGTGGAAGCTGTACCTTTTGCTCAGTAGACAGAGCACTTGGTGTCATTTTACTGTTAACAGATGAAGACATGAACGCAAATGAAGTGGGTGGTACGTTTACACTTCTTTATGGCTTTGAGAAGGCAATGCTTCTGCCTTGTGAAATGACACTTCTCAATGTAATGTTACCTGCTTGAAAGTAAAATGTCAGCAGAAAGGTGCTGTTTACCACTCTTAGTATTGCTTCCTGTGAAATTGTTTTTTTCCTAAAAGGCTTTGACCCAAATTCAGAATTCTTTAAAAGAAAAAAAAATATAAAAAGAGATCATTTTAGGCTAATTCCTTCTTTTCACGGTAGCTGTCATTTAGGCTTTTATATTAGAGGAATATAATCTATCACAAGCAGGTATGACACCTTAGTAAACTGCATTCACAACCTTCAGTGAAAACTTGTCTCTGTGTTGCTGATATGTATACACCCACACCTGCAGGGACAAGACAAACACTTATTATTTGGAAGCATCATCTCTTCACAGAAACTGCTTTGCCCTAAGACCTTTTGTGCAGTTTACACTTTTTATGTCGGTATTATTTTAGTTAATAAAAAATGGAGTTTTAAAAAAGTGACAAGTATTTTTCCAAGTTTTGTCTGTTTTCTGGTAAAGCATAGTTCTCAGGTACTGAGAAATGAAAATATGTTAGTGAAAAAATAAGGCAAAATACTAAAG